TAATACTTTATTCTTAAGTATTCTAGGGGCCCATATCCCATTCTTCTGTTCCTTCTCCCTTGATTTTTACGCTCAGCAGCTCAGTTTTATCTATTGAGATAAATAAAAGCTGAAATTTGTTCCCAGACAAGGAATTTACTAGACTCCTGGGGGCAGGGTGGGTAGGAATTGTATTCAACAAATGGGGGGAGGGTAGCTATATTTTAAGGATCTTTCATTTTTTTTCACGTGTAAGGATGGAAGCATTTCTGTTTAAGTCTTTTGGCATTACAGGGTATTATAAATAAAATGTAATATGAGCAAAAACAGTAAAGTTTTATAGTCATTTTTATGCCTAATAACTGATGCCACCAGATTTAGAATTATTTTAGATTATATACTTTGCAAAACCCATACGTTACATGTGATAGCAGGCTTATTGTGATGAAACAGTTACCTTCATCTCACCCTTAAAAATTTGTTGAAGACCTACTATGTGCTAGGATCGTGTCAAGACAGATGTGAAAATGTACTTCATTTTCGAACAAATTCTTTCCGTCTCTCCACACTAAAATATATTACCTCCATAAAAAGTGCTCAGTTCCCCCCACTGCCATGGACCTAATCTTGCCCACCTTTCTGCCTTCAGGCAGCAGCTGAACCCAAATTTGGCACCCTCTGCAGGTTGAGCTTGGTTCTGCGGCCTTGTGATTATTTCGCTCCTTCTGAAAACGGTTGGTTTTATTGTTTGTTGCTGTTGTCCTTTAATTTAAAGGGCTGAATCTGGGTTTTGGGCTGTTGAAGCTAATCTAGCCTCAAAATTAAAACCTCATCCCTAGGAACCAGCTGTCCGGATGACCCTAACTCACCCGGTGGAGGCTTCGGGTGAGTTATGAGCTCAACAGTAGCTGGGGAAATAAATGATGTGCCCAGAGTTCACACATCGTCCATCCCCTCCTCCCCATAAACTCGCAAGTATCCGAAGAAGGGAGAGGCAGGAGCGGCCCCTGGCCAGATCTCTGAAGGAAGGTGAGTGGGGCTGCAGAAAGTACAGTCGCCTTTAAAGTAGCCACAGGGGACAGGCCTGGTCAACAAGGGGACTCTAGCAGGAGTCTTCACCCGCTCTTTTTAAAATTAATGAGAAGTTGGCTAAGAGGGTTTACTTTTTGTTCCTCCTATTTATCACGCAATTTATAATTTGTGGAGTTAGCATTAAACAAGAAAGCTTGCTCTCTTAAAAACAAAACCAGAACAACAAAAACCAGCCCGATTCCCTCTGGCTGCGCCTGCCCGGGGTCTGCCCGACCCAGAGGAGCCCCTGGCCCAGCGACTCTCGGGGCTCACTGTCCCTCTCTGCGCCCGCCCAGGGAAGCCGACCCGCTATTCTTTTCCTCCGCGATTACTCGCAGCCTCACAAGCAGCACCATATGCTGCTTCTGATCAAACAGCGAGCGACATCGGCACCGATAATTGACGAGACCCGCTAGAAATCACGCAGAAAGGGAGCCCACTGAGACCGCAGGGGCTGACAAATCACTGCTAATAATCCTGTTAGGAACAGAGCGGCCAGCGGAGTTCGCAATAGCTTTATTTTTATAAAGTAGGAGCTGACAGTATAAAGACAACGATATCTCTTTTTTAAACAGAAGGCAATGTAGCATAATAGAAATTTTCCCACCGGCAATTCTCAGCACAGGTTGAATGGGAAATGTGGTTTTTTATTACATAAGTTGCCCCTCTTTTTTTCTCTCTCTCTCTCTTTTCTTTTTTTAAAAAACTTTTCAGGTATGTTAGGTTTTGACTCCTCTCGTAGTTTCCAAGGTCAGATGAAATTGTTCAAGGAACTGCTTTAAGACAAAATGACCATAATACTACTTATAGCTTTGGGCTAAAACTGAACTATAAAAGTTGTCCTTTAGTGCTCCTGACTAATTTGGGGGCATGTTTTGCAAGATCTTGATTCAGATAATAACTTGTAGTCAAAATGAAGCAAAGTGAAACTCAAAGCCCAATAGTGATTCTTTCCTTCCCTCTTTTCCCTAAAATAAACAACAAATTCCAAACATCCAGAATCAACAATAACATAAATCTCTCTGGGTCAAATAAGATGTTCTGGTTTGTAAATAAACAGCGTTCCTTCTCTTGAATTTGTTTGTTTAGTATTCTCTCTTTTACACTTCCAAATCGTCCTTCCCCAGCAAAGACATATCTAAAATATTTTTTAAAATCTGTTTACATTATTTGAATGTAAATAAAGGAAAAGATGGAGAAACAGAAGAGAGACGAGTCCTTCACCTACTGAATATAAATGGTTTTATACAAGACAGTGTTCTATGAAGCGTACTTTGTCCTCACACAGTGAATCTTGATAATCTAAAAACACATTTTAAATCATGTCAACAGTTCAGCTATTCTAACTTCTAGGCCTTATAAGACAATTTTCCCAGGGATTCATTTGCCAACCTGCCACCTAAAAGATATTTTCTAAGCAGGCAAGTGATCTTAATTCCATCTTATATCTCAGAAAAAAATATCAAGCCCAGAGTTGCAAATCAGAGTTAGTCTCAGAATCTGTGACCATCTCAACAACTCAGAATAAATTTGCAATAAGTAGTCCAGAGACTGGGTAAATTCAGAACATATTTGTTCATGAACTTGCCTGCTCCTCATCTGCTGAATTACTGACATATTGAGAAATTATTATCTCCTTGTACATGGGTCTGTCTAGACATAACAAAATTAGAAGAATTTAGAGGTGTTCCTGCTCTCTACTAGATATAAATCTAATAAGAGGAATTAAAAAAGAAAGTCATGTTTGGGTTAGTAGTACTTCCGACTGAGCCCAGTTATCTAAGTGTTGACAAAAGCACCGCTGGGCTGCTTCCCAATCAAACACATCTGATGGACAGAAGAGAAAGTATTAGTGGGGGAGCAGAAAGAGCCACAGAAAGGCAATAGAAATTCTAAATCCAGCGAGGTCCTTAGTTATTCCAGCATGCTAAACTTCCCTTTGCAGTGTGTGTAGGTAAGTATGAGTGCACTTCTCTGCCGGTAGTGTAGTCATTCACTGGCAACTCCCTTACCCCTTCTACCTTTGAAATTCCATCTGGTCAAAGTTACTTACCTTCTGGGAACACTACTCTCATTTTGAGATAGCTGGTGGTGAGTCTGATTATGGATGCTTTGTCCAGCTGCGAGGTGATAGCTGAGGGCAAAGGCAGTAATTTAGCCAGTTCATAAAATTCACTGTTTTCCTTCTCCCTCCTAGTCCGGGCAGCATTTTTGGACTTCTCTTTCATCGTGTCTCGTTCTCCCTTTCTTCTTACAACATAAGTTCCACAGATTCATCCAAAATCAAAAATAAACTTTCACTTAGAGATCATATTTGGCAAAAAATATAAAGCATACTTTGACGACACTTTTGCTTCAGTGTTTTGATGGTAGTGAAAGAACAGCAACGGTGAACAGATATTTTTCTTTAAAAATTAGGAATGCGAATAAAATTGCTGATCCACGGCAAGCGATCTCGACTATCCTAGGCGTAGCTGGGTATCAAATGCCAGCAGGAACCCCGAAGAGCCAGCCTTTTCTTCGGTTCCGCGCTGCAAACACCGGTCCTCGGGAGATCGACATAATAATCCCCGACGGGTGCTCTCAGTCCCGAGGCCTTGGCGGCGGCTCCGAGCCCCTCGGGGAAGAACACGATTGCCGGACCACTCTTTCAGGCCACTGTGAAGACAACAGCATCAGAGCGTCAGACATCTGCGGCTCCACACTCACTCACGCGCTCGCCCCAATTCTGGGGGAGATGGCCGGGAAGGCCTCAGCGCGCCTCCAATTTTCCTTGCCAGGCTCAGTGTTTTGGTTGGTTGGTTGGTTGGTTAAGATTTGGAAAAATCAGCAGCGAGACTGAGTCCCCGGCAAATAATATTCGCCTTCTCTCACCCCCGTCAGACACATTCTCCAGCCCCCTGGGAAGTTGCCCAAACCATAGGTCTCGGAAGACCCTTAGGAGCCCCAGGCCAGGCGTACGTTCCCAGGAAGGCAGGTTTCTGCAAATCAGATTTCTCCGCAGCGCTCGGGCGCCTCTCGGTCCCCCCACTTCGGTAGGTCCGGAACTTGACTCTAACTTGGGTTTCAAGTCTCAGGGATTCCTCAAAAAGTGGCACTTATACATCGCGTCCCTCGGGACTGCCGAGGAGGCGACCCAGCGCTTCCCCTGCCCAGTGGGGGCGGCAGCACGCCGGGCACGGCAGCGCCAGGTTAACAGGTGGCACATTCGCGACAGCCCCTCGCAGGCACCGGAGGGCGGGAGGCGCCCGGCCTCTCCTCCTCCGCCGCGGAGCCGCGGGCGCCACTGGGCGGGCGCAGGGCATATTCCGCTTCACCTACCTTCAGTCCCTGCCGGCGGCAAAGCATGCGGAGGCGCCCACCTCTTAGTTGTGCTCATGCCTACCGTCCAACTAAGCCATTCCGCGGGCCTCACCGCTTCCCACCAGCAGAGAGGAGCAGAGCGCGCCCTGGCTCTCTTCTTCTCTCGGTCATGAATTGGGGGATGGGTGCGAGGGAGAAGCGGGGGTGGGGGGGGGGGGAATTCGGGCTTTGGGACCGGTGAGGTGGCTTTAGAATCCTCCTCCTCGGTAGTTGTCACGAAGGAAGTATTATTGCTAATTGGAAGCCGAAAACGCCCCCCTGTAACTTCTTAATGGCTTTACAGGGTTTAGCTTCAACTTCACTCCCGGGCTCCCTCTCTCCCGCCCTCTCTTAATGCCACTCAAAACCTCCTCGTTTCTGATTGGTTCGCTGCGTCTCGGGGTGCGGCGCTTATTGGCCAACAGGCCTGAGTGACGCGTGCACGAACCGAGCTTCCCCGCCCCCGCCCCCTCCCAGCCGCGCGCCACAGCTCTCCGCAAGCCGCCTAGCTAGCCGCGTGGCTGTAACGCTCCTAACTAGCCCCGAGCACGGGAGTCTGCGCTGGCCCTCAGCAGCTGCTGCTTTCGGCCTCCCGGATCTTGAGGGCGATGTGCCGAACCTCCCTGCTCTCCCGGGGGTCGAGGGGCTGTGCACTCAGCCCTGAGCGCCGGTCTCGCAGTGCCAGGAGCTCCCCAAAGAGACTAAAAGCGGCCTCCGGGCCGCAAAGGTCGGGCCCGTGGGTTGGGGCGCCCGACAGGCGAGGCGGGAGTCGCTCTGGCTGCGGGAAACGTTTGCCCAGAGGCCGACCAGCCGGCTGGTCCCTTCTAGCCGGCAAGTCGCGGGGCTCACGGCGTGCCTAGGGCCGGTAGTTTATATTTTCTTGTTCGCATCTCTGAAATTACGGCGACACCGAATTCATCGCCAGAGAGGATAAATATACCCATATTTAAATTAATCCCAAAGAGGAGCGTCTTTTTCGAAATGGGTAGAATATGGGGGCTGACTTTGTTCACCGTAGAAAGCTCAGTCTCTGGGTTTTCCTATGGGGAGCAGTTAGGGGACACTAGAAGAAAAGAGGTTACACTTCGAGCCAAAATAGAGTCGTTGATATATAGACACCTCACAGCAGTCTGTTACCCTAATCCTGAGCGAAGATTTTTGTTGTTGTTGGGTTTTGTTTCAGGAAACCAAAGTCCAACACCAGTATTCCTTAACGGAAGGATACAGTCTGCATGAATGAATTTACAGCATTTACAATCCTTTACAGGAGCCGTTTAAACAAACGCTTGTAAGTACTATTGCTGACAAGTTATTTTTAAGAGAACCTCTTAATTTGAATCGCCTTCTCTGTCATCTGTGGATAAAACAAAACAGCAATGGGGGAAAGTTCCTTCGCCCTGGAAGATAATTATTGCTACTTGCAAACCACTCCCTACAGAAGCGATTCCTTGCTTCGTTTTGGTGCGGCTGGTGGCCACTTTAAAGGCTCCCGGAGGTCGGCTTGGAGGCAGTTGTTTCATCAGCGAGAAAAGAACACTAGTCCTGTTGCGCTCCTCGTTTGTGACGCTAATTGCCTCCGAGAAAACATATACTGTGAAGAGGGGTGTGTGGCATCCTGCTGATATTCGGAACAAATTTAAGAGTGTTTGTTCAAAAATACATACACCCACCGCCTCCTTGCAGCCCAATGGCAGTAAGCTTTAAGAACGACAGTGGGAGAGTCTTGGGGATATTTACACATCTGGGAAACACCTGGCAGGAGGAAGTGGTGAACGTTCTGGACAGGAGTGGGGGGAGGGAGACTTTTTTGTAAAAGAACTAAATGTAGAGACGTTATAGGTGTTCCCAAACTGGAATCCAGCAAATGGACTCTAATCTAGAAGGAGGAGTCATTTCCCCAGAAGCTGTAGCCACTAACAAGCCTGGCTCTGGGCGGTTCAACCACCAAGTAATGCCCTGTTAACAAGAGACGGATAGGGATACAGAGAGAGATGTACTGGGGCTCACTTATACACAAGATTCTGGAGAGACCAGATAAGATCAGGCTGACTCGTGCCAAAAAAAAAAAAGGGTGTTTGGAAAGGGTGAAAGAACCTTTCTTGAGAACCTTCTTTCTCCCCACTTCCCCAGCCCCCAACCTGGACAGATCTTAGGAGTTAAAATGGAGCGGCCAGATGAAGCAATGACACTTCAGGGTAAAAAGCATTTTTCTATTCCTACTGTTCTGGAAAGGATTTCACTTAAGTCGCGGTTACCGTAAACGCTATTTCCGCTTCAAACAATGTGCAGAAGTGTTGGTGCTCCACAGCGGCCCGAAACCCTTGCCCACCGCAGGGACTCCGAGGGGTCAGGCAGCGCCGACTTCCCAAACAGGGCGTGTTTGGCGCCAAAGAAATGGAACGCTTTGCCTTCAGATCAAGGTGAGTCTGGGAGTCTTCACACCAAGGAGGACGTCCCGGAGACGGGGGCCAGGAGGGCCGCTCCGGTGTCCCAGTGAAGCTCAGTAGTCCATGAACTGAGAATGTGTCCTTTAATAAAGTGAATGCGGGGCCACGTGGTGACGGCCCCCTCGCTAAGTCCTCTGCACACAACTGTCTGAGCCGCGTTTACCGAAAGAGTGAATTAGCATGGCGACGTAACACCTGTTTTTCTAATCTTTGAACCCGGCTAGAGCGGGAACGCGGCTCTGGCACTCCCCCGCCCGGCGACCCCGCCCGGGGCCCCGCGCGCACCACGCCTGTTGGGCAGGAGCCGCGACCTCGGGTGCCTCCCACGTGCTCGGAGGATCGCTGCTCACCTCTAGCAAGGGTAATTTTAAACCAGCTTCTTGAGGCTAAGAGGCTAATCCTACCCACCTTTTTGACGAGGTAAGGGGGAAAGCCCCAGAAAGGAAAAAGATGGGCACACGGGACCCACCAACACCAAACGGGGGAGCCCTAAGAGGCTAGGCCACCGCCTCCTTGCGCGGGCGCCTCAGTCTGCAGCCGTCTGACGCCCCGGCACTGTCTGTGCAACCCCAGAACCCGGTCCTAAAGCGGGAAGAAACCATAACCGATTTACAAACAAACTTCTCCCTCCTTCCCTCGCCACCCCCGCCCCCCGCCCCCGTCTTTTCCCAGGAGCGCCAACTGCCTAGAATTACAGGAACATCGCACACTCGAGGTTCCCTTCCGAGACAACCCCAGGATGCATGAATCCCATCCTCAATAGGCCTGGATGCCAAGAGGAGCAGAGGTCCAGGGCTCAAGTTCGGAGCAGAGGGAGAAAGGCGTGCCCGCCGCGGCCGAGCCGAGAACCTGTGGAGTTCCGCGCGCTAAAAGAGGATCCTCGGAGGACCTCTTGCCTGCTCAGGCAAAGAGCAATCTAGAGAAGCTGTTGGGTTGTAAAAGAACAAGTGAACGCCCAGCAGAATTCCGGTGCACACCAAGGAGCCTGTTTCAGCACAGAGGCCTCGACCCCTGCCTCGGGCACAGACTCCCTCAAGCCTCTGGTAACCCCTCCCTGCGCCCTGCTGCTTCAAAACTAGAATGCTGTCTCCCACGCCGCCCGCATAACGCTTAAGAAAAAATAAAAAAGACTGCTAGGGACTCACATATGCACTTTTACACTCTAGCATATCACATATACACAATCGCATAGAGCACTTCAGGCAAGGATTTTACTCAATGGCCAAGGTCAGGATGAAGGATATTTATATTCAAGATTAAAATTTGAAGATGTTCACTTAAATATCTCAGTATGTTATATCCAGATATTCACTGTCTATTAGTGGAAAGGAGACTTTATCTGGGGAAATATTAATGTCCAGGGAAACATTAACGTTTTTCTTCTTCCATGTAAGTGAATCCTGCTCTAGCCTCACTTTATTACCACACTTAGTCGTTGTGATATAGACGCAGAAACAAGGGCCCCTGACAGATTTAACCCCCGGAGGGGTGAGTCTGCTAGAAAACAAAGACAAGGAGGAACCTCCAAAAAATAGGGCAGTATTTAATCTTTCTCAAATTATTCTAAGTATATTGTAAGTATTCCTTGTTTGATCAGGATGTTTGAGAAAGTATAAGTTATTTGATGAACAAAAAACAACTCTCTTCTGAGGTACTACTTCTCAGGCGCCTGCCTGAATTGACCATTAACATGTCCAGAAAATTAGCTTCAGTGGTTACACAGTGAAAAAAGAAAATGGGGGTGGGGGAGGGAGAAGGAAGGAAGGAAGGAAAATGTGCTAACGTGAAAATGCAAGTAAAGATTTTTTTTATAGTTTCTCTTAATAGTCTGGATATTTTCCACCCAGATTTTGAACTGTAGTCTAATATAACCTTGAATTGGTGGCTGAAAAACAGGAGGGCCTGTTAAACTGCGCACTTTTAAAGAGCGGACCCACTCGACCAATAACAGTAGCTGAGAAACTGATGGTGCGCATTCTGAGGACAGGAGCGGGTGGGTGCCTGCAGCTCAAAGCGCAGGAAATTTTTACAATTTTCCTTTCTAGAAATCGAGCTGAGGATGGTGTGTGTGTGTGTGTGTGTAATTCAGCAAAGCAGAGCCCAGGAACACAAATCAAGGTGTGCAAAAGCTGAAGATGACGTTGGTTCGCTACTGGGGGCTGGAAGACGCTTTGGTTCCTAAATCAGTTTCCAATTTTCAGGCTAAACCACGCTTTCGGTGTGTTACTGGAGCGCACGCCAAGCCTGGGGACGCAAGTGGGTGACTAGAACGCGCAGGGGTGGAGTGCGGGGTGTGAGGGGAGGCCAGGCGGCCGAAAGGGGCCCTAGAGGAGTCAGTGACTTCGAAACGGGCGAGGGGCGTCAGAACTGCGAGGCTCCAGAGGCTTTGTGCTTCACTCTCCTGCTTTGAGAGCCTTTGGATTACGCTTCTGGAGAGTTAATCCTTTCCTGAGCCGCAACTTTTGAGTCTAGCTCCTGGGATCGATGTGCCCCAGGGACTGTGCGGTGAGCGCCCGAAAAGGATCCGCTAGCCCCGCACTCCAGGCGGAGTAGGCATTCTCCCGAGGCGGATGCTTCTAATCCATAAACAGATGACGGGGCTTCCAGACCTGGCTGAGCCCCGGGGTCCCTTAGGGTGGAGTTTTGTGCCAAGCGCAGCTTTTAAGTATGGACCTTCGGGCTCCATTCTCGTTTAGGAATCGGAAACCCCGGTTGCACTCTGGAGTCCGCATTTATAAAGGATGGGAGGGGCGGGGGTGGTCCAAGCACTAGGAAACTCCACGAGCCGCAGAAGCTGGGGGGAGGACGAGCTCCGGGAGGGGGGCGTGGGCGTCTCCTCGCTTCGCGAGGTGACTGTGGTCGCAGCCTTCTCCGCCCCGCCCCCGACTCTGCGCTGCGGCTTAACTCGGCTGGGGGCGCCGGCAGACTGTAGTTTGGAAGAGCTGCCGCCCCCACCTCCCCCCCTCTGCCCACCCCGCCTCGCCTCGGTCGTCACCGCAGGATCCCAGCGAAGTACCTCTGTGTTTTGGGACGGGGACCGAGTATACCTCTGGCGTCTGGGGCATGTTGGAGTTCCACTCTAGCCAGACTCATCACCTCTGTGCCCTTGGGAACCTGCCCTTGAAAAGCTGGGCATCCTTGCTCCTGGCTGGTGGTTTTGGAACTTGAGCCTGTCCGGGGATTGCCTGCGGAGGCCTGGAAAAGCACTGATGGCTGGTCCTTGCTCCCAGAGTTTACGACTCAGCAGATCTAGGATGAGACCCAGTAAAGTCACCTTTCTAACATGTTCCCAGATGATGCTCATGCTGCCAGTCAGGGAACCACAGTTTGAGGACCATTGCTTTAGTCTGCCTTTTCTCAGCTTGTCTTTGCAGAAGACAGTCCGGAGGGAAAAGATTTAAAGTGAGAGTCCTATTATAGGAGCCTGAGCATATGGCATAAAATAATATGACTGTCTAGTTGAGGTTCAGGGGTGAGGCCCAAGGCTGTGAAGATGGGTCATTCCTACCTTCTTAAGAAAGAGGATGGTGGCCTCAGGATGACAGAGGGGAGGCCAGGAAAACCCAGCCAGGTCAGCCTTCAGTGGGGAATTTGGCCTCCAAAGAGCAGGGAAGTTTTCAGAGCACTCCCAGAAGGTGCCGGAGTTCCAGCGTTCTCATTGAAGAAGTCCACAGGGTTTGAGCCAATCCACCTAGGGTTAGGACACATTGGAAAAATAGCAAATAACCTATTGGTTCTCCTTTTGGCCTTGAAATCATTCCCTGATTTTGCAGAGTTCTTAAGCTAAAAGGACCCAAGATGTGTGCGGTTTTGGTGCAGGGGGACTGTCCCTCGAAGAAGCAGCCCTGGCTGGGCCCATGGGGCCTGTGCGGTCTAGGCCTCCTCCTACGTGGTGCAGGCTCTGTCCCATGCAGCGTCACGTTCAGCATCACTTTGGGACAGTATGACTTTGTAAGTCCTTGGGCACTTAGGTATTTATGGGTCCCTTCCTCTGTTAAAAGTACTAAAGGTTATATTTTACAATTGAGTTGGTGCAAAGATGAATGCAAGTTTGGCTGAATTCATGACCTTATATTCATTATTCTTAAATCTGTTTTCTTCTGATTGTACTAGAGCTTAAAATTAAAACACATATGGACTTCTAAAACTGCCAGGGGCTTTGGCCCTGTGCCTTTTGTGACAAATGCTGCCCTGGGCACAGCTGGGAGGATGGGGCTGATAGGTGTGTCTTGTCACAGGTTCTGTTCCTAAGTCTCTTTAGGAAACTTGGAGGGAGGTTTGGGACCATCCTATTTATCCATGAGTCACAGCCCTGCTTCTGGTACAAAATGGATTGGCTCCTCAGAGCTCACACTGCAGAGGCCCTCCACCCTGCTTTAGTTATGTCTGAGGTATGACCCTAAAACTGGGTGGAAAAATCCAAACAGATTCAGTTATCAGCCCATTTCTTATCTTAACACCTGGACTGCTTCACTTTTTTTTTCCTTACCTGGATATCAGATTATTAAGTGAAATCCAATTTTATGCAAACCAACAGACTTGGGTTGCCAGCTGGTGTCCACTGCTATACAACAATACCTGATTTCTTACTATCTTTATAAAGTTCCTTTACACAGATTCAAGCAAACATTAAGTTTGATACCTTACACTGTCCTGCACCTTGATTTGTTCACTTTCCATGACAAATTCTTCATCTTGTCTTTCCTAAAATCTCTATAGCATTCTATCTTATGAATATATCAGTATAATTTATTTAACCTGGCATTCGCCAAGGGCATTTAGGTTGTTCCTCATCGTTACTATCACAAGCAGTCAGTTAGCTGTGTACCAGTGGAACCACAGGACAGACTCCCCACAGTGGAATTGCTAGGCCAAGGGGACGTGTATTTGTACTCCTAATAGATATTACCACATTGCCTTCCACAGAAGTTGTGCCCATTGACGCCCCCACCATCAGGGCGCGAGGGTAGCTGTTTCCCCACAGCTTTGCAATGAAGAACATTATAGCCTTTTTTTTTTTAGCCAATCTGATAGGTGAAAAAAAAAATCAGTCTACTTTGTCTTTCCTTTATTATGGAGGGTGAATATCTTTTCATATGCCTAAGGGCTTTTCAAATTTCTCTCCTCTTGAACGGTCTTTCCAGAAACATTTGAGGGTGCGGCCCTCTTGGCTGTGGACAAGGTTAAGTTTCCTGGGCTGGAGGAAAAGCTGGGACCTGACTTTTAAGGGAGGTGAGGGATTCTTGAACCTCTCGGGGAGGAGAGCTCCCCAGACCTCTGGGAAGTGGAAACAGTCAGAAATACAGGTTCAAGGCTCTGGAGTCATCTACTGACACTTCCCTCACCCCCTTATATAAAATATTTAATATTCTTTAATGTAAAACACATAAATATAAAATTATAATTTGAATGTGTCTTCATCCAATTGACCCCCTAATTATCTTCAATTATATTGTACATATGTTAAAATGGTGGTTAATTTATGGATTCTGTATGTTTTGAAATTCAGTTGTCCCAAGTTGATATTTGAACCAACTGTTTTTGTATTTTACCTGCAAACACAAGGAGACTTTACCACAAAAACAACTCAAGCATTAACATATGCCATCCAATTGTGTTGTATGATTTAAGCCAATAACTTGAAGGAACAAGGGGACAGACTGATCCTGGCAGTAATTTCACAGGAAAAACTTGTAATCATCTATTAAGAACCTAAATAAAAATGATACATGGGAGAAAGCAGAGGAAAAAACAAGGGTGCTGCCAGTGTGCAGCCTACCGTGGCTTAGATCTGCTTTGATATTTATTTTTATTCTCAGAGATCTGATAACTTGTTTGTGAAGATAAATGTCATATGATAAGCCACTGTATATTCCCCTTGAATAATCAGAAGTCACGTGATGGCAATGTGACTGTTTTACTCCAAACCAGACAGCAATATAAGTGTATGTTAAAGCTGATATTAAAACCCTCCTTAAGTTTTAAATATCTGATTAATATTAGGACTTGAGTGTATAAGAACTATAACATAGTTTTGTATCAAATAACACCCCCATCTCTTTGTCTGTGTGTCTGTCTGTCTCTCTCTTTTTCTCTCTGTCCCTCTTCCCTGTAAGAAAGACATGATAATGAAAAACTATTCCATCAGGAGGAGCTGGTTTAGAAACAAATGGATTCCATGGCAACTCCTGACTCCACATGACTTCTAATAACTGGCATATCAGCTGGAAATTGTCTGTGTGATATTCTGTCCAGCGCTGGTGCCTTCTATGGGGTTTCCCCTACTTTACATCTCAGAAACGGAGTCTTAACCTCCAGTTTCATGAATAAGCAGCAGCGGCAGCAGCAATATGTCACCACCTGTAACCATAATGTGGCCATTGATCTGTTAAGTGTTTCTGGTTCCAATTTTCAGGCTAGCTGACAGAGACGAGCACCAAATGAGAACTGTTCAGAGCTGGTATCACATGGTGTAGAAAATCTGGGAGGTGTGTTCCACAGCAGATTGACAGCGAGTCACATGTTCTCATTCAACTGAAGAGAATGTGTGTCTCAAAGCCTGGCCAGCACGTCATGGCTGTTGGACTCACCACAGAGGAAGGCTGAACGAGGACAAAAATAGCCAGCCAGAGTTCCCTCTTCCTCACTAAAGGAAACCAAAATGGTTTGAGCTTGACCTAGGGCTCAGTGATCTGCTGATCGCCCAGTGATATTGGCACCACTGCAGCAGCGACAAAGCGACAAAAAAAGAAACTTGTATCAGGATGGGTTTGTAATACCTTGTGTCTGAGTATTTTATATTTTTTCCTGTGACCCAGGGAAAAAATTGTGTCAAAAAAGGGTCAAGTGATTGCTCTTAGAAACACTGCAAATCAATGATGGAATCGGTGCAGAGGTCAAAAGGAGCCAAGCTTGTGTTCCTGAACTTGGTGGAGAGCTTCTGGGTCCCGCTGAGGGGCTTGTGCTCCACCTGGGCAGGTCACGATTGAAATTCAGTTATGACTCAGACCTGTGTCCTACCCAGGGAAGATACCTTTCCCTGAGTTGCACAAAGGCGCTCTGTGGAGTAGCTCATGTTGGGCTAACACTGCCCCCCACTTGTTGAATCTAGGCTGTGTGACACATGTCAAGGAATGTTTATTATGACCCTTTGGAAATCATCATGCAGGGGTTTCAGTGGTTAACTCCAGTTGCCAGTGTTGGTCAGAGCAACCAGCAAATAATGATTTACTCAAGGTGAGGATTAGAAGTGACACAGCAAATTTGTTTACTAAGGTCATGTTCCAGAGAAGTAAGGGAGTGAAAAAGAAAGGTTACTGTGATGAAGAGAAGCAGAGAAACATGTGCAGGTGGGAAGAACTGAGGGAAGAGTGTTTGGGGAAAGTGTTGACATCAACATGCATGAGATAATTTTTAAATCTGTTGGTCAAATTCAGGGGAAAATGCCTTAAAATAGTGGAATAAATTTATTTTTTAAAAATCCACTGAACAGTAAGTTTATGCACTTTAGGTAACTTTCAAATCACACTTGCTTTGGCTAATTTGGAATTCGAGGAAGGGTATAAATCTACTGTAGACCCAAAATATTTAATAATGTTATTAACCATCAGTTATCCAACAGTTGGCAATGCTGTAAACTTGAAAAGACTCTTCACATCATTCTAGAATGAGCTGACACTTGACAAGGGAGACACTTTGGTGGGAGCCCCTGAGCAGTGAGGAGAATGAGCAGGGTGCCCCGTGGAGGGGATTCTCACTCCCTCCATGATTTCAGGACTTCACTGGGACCTCTGTGAATTTGCAGTCCTCAGCATTCCTATGAGGAAGGGGACAGATGACAGCTCTCCAAGTTTCCAAAAGCAAGCTGAGTAACTTCCTCAGAACCCCACAGGAATAATGTTCACCCAAGTAAGTGTTTCAAGATTTTCTTTTGAAAAGTGCTTGGACCTTTTAGAACACGATCAAGTAAAAGGGGATGATATGCATTGAAAATACAGAGAATAACCCAAGGGGCAAACATCCCCATGAAATCAAGGAAGCAGAAGCATCTCTATGAACTTACTAGCTGGCCTGGACCGCTTTT